TGAGCCATCAAAAACTACAGTGCCCTTCATTTTCTCATGAAAGACCTGATGATGTTAAGGAATTGAGGTGGACATCCAATCTTGGGAAGTATTTTAAAGAGGCCATCCCTGCTAACCAAATCAAAGGCCTTTGTGAGATTTATGAAGACCACAAAGAGTGGCTGTCGTTGTTCCCTACATTTCTCCTGCAACTGTCCGAGGGAAGATACCATGTCAGTGATGGATCTATTCGCTTGAAATCTACACTGTGATTCTGAATAGACTCTGTCTGCAAGCACCTGGAGTCTCTTCAGCACAACACAGGTAAGCAGCTTCCCTACAACATTGAGCAGAGAGATGCCACGGTAGCTATTGGAGTCGTCCCTGTCGCCTTTGTTGTTATACAATGGGATGATGCTTGCATCCTTCATGTTCTGTGGTACTCCACCTTCCCTCCAGCAAAGACAAAATATTTCATACAGCTCAGTGGTGATGGTCTCTTTACAGCACATCAGCACTCAACAGGGATGTTATCCTTCCCACATGCCTTGCTGGAGGCGAGGAAATCCAAGGCCACTTTTATTCCTGCTAAATTTGGTTCGCTGTCCAACTCTTCCAAGACAGGCAGGAACTCAATGTTATTTAATACCTTTTCGGTTACTACATTCTCTCTGGAATATAGCTCAGAGTAGTGCTGCACCCAGCGTTCCATCTGCTGTGCTCGGTCCTAGGTGATCATGCCTGTAGCAGACTTCAAAGGAGCAGATTTCTTCTGTATTGGACCTAAAGCCCTTGATGTTACCTGTATCTGCGGCTATCTGTATCTGAGAGCAGAGCTGAAGCCAATAATCGTTAGAACATCTCATGACAGTCTGTTGGACTTTGCTACAAGCAACTTGAATAACCTGCAAGTTGTACTCACTTGGACGGGCTTTGTATGCTGCTAGAGCTCTCCTCTTATCCTTGATGGCTGGCATCAACTCCTCCGGATGGGCTTCAAACTAGTTTGCCATGTTTTTGGTCTTCTTGCTAAATACGGGCAAGGTGGTGTTATAAATATCATTCTTGCAATGTTCCCATCATTCAGGTGCATTTGCATCAGCTGGGCATGGAAGAGTTTCCTCAAGCGCTTGGGCAAATTGTATTCTTGAAGACTTTCACTGTCAGGATCCGATGGTTGTTGTAGGTTTTTCAAGCTTTTTGGCCGTGTTCTTTAGAACACAGCCAAACTGCCTGAAAAACCTACAACAACCATCCTCCACTTCTCTCTGATCGCGAGTCTTACTGATGCCAATGTGTGGTCTTCCTTCCTTTTCGTGTGATACAATTTCTTTATCACAGTTTTACTCTGCTACACACCAGGGAGTAATCAGTATCGCAATCAGCACCCTGATAACTGTGTGTGATCGTATTACTAGGAAGGCTAGAGTGTCTAGTGAGGATTAAATTGAGCTGATGCCAATGCTTCGATCTTGGATGTCTCCAAGAGACTCTGTGTTAAAGCTTCATATTAAATAACATATTGCTGGCACAAAGACCATAATAACAGCAAAACCCCAGCAAGCGTTGGCCATTTTCGTTCGTCTTCCCAATGCCAAAACAGCCTAGACAAGTGGGCCAAGAATTGTGATCAGCACCAACTCTAGCATTAAAGTCTCCAAGAATGAACAGCAGCTCTCTCTCTGGGATTATTTTGATAGTAGCTGCCAGATCATCATAGAATTTGTTTTTGACTTCTGTTGTAGATGACAGTGTTGGTGCATATACAATAATGAGGGTGACTAGTCCTGCTGATGAATGAAGCTGCAGAGACAGGATTTCCTTCACTCCCCACATAGGTGGAAAAATGGATCTCAGCAGAGGATTTCTAACTTCAAAGACAACACCATATTCCCTGGTCTCATCCAATGCCAGAAGAATGAGAAGTTTTTTTTCTTTGACAGATCCCAAGTCTGGCAATGTCATTTTTTGCAGGGCAACAATGTCCATCTGCAGCCTAACTCAGTTCCATGTCGATGACAACTGTCTTGTGCATGTCGTCTATTTCCTGCAGGTTGTCAGAAAAGCCAGGGATCATTGTCCAAACATTCCAGGTGCCCAACTTTAGGGAAGAAGTTTACTTATGATTCTTGCATGTTGCAGGGTTGTTGATCTGCTTGTCAGCCTTCACCATAAACCCAAACACCCCATGAGGTTAACAGACTGTGGCGAGGCAGCACCTTACTGGCTGGGGGCTGCCCAGCTTAAGGTGGGTGGTAGCTACCTAGTGAGGTGCAATGACCTCTCCCACCATCGGAATTAGCCCCTGGTGTCATGCTCTATGCCAATTGAGCAAAGACTTATAACCACTAACTGCTACTTCCCGTGTTATTTTGATGCTGTATGCGAAGCTGGAATGTCCTCTCCAGAGCACGAAGCCTGGATAAAATAATATGGAGGATAGGCTGTTACCCAAGCAGCAAATCCCCCCTCTCCACATCATTGAAATAGTCCAATGGAAAGGCAAGAGCCAATACAACTGGGTCCAGCAACGTTGCAGGAGTTGCCAGAACATCACAAACTGTCTCTGGGGCTCTGGCTCTGAATTTGGC